GAAATGTGAGCTGCTCTTTGAAGACTGGAAGAACTAAGCATTGTTATCGCATTAAAGAGATTTAGTGGCATCATGGAAAAAAGCGAAATGAAGCGGTGTGCAGCTTTAGTAAAGCCCTGCAATCGCTATGCATTTCTAGGGTAACAAAAAAATCAAACCTAAATGATTTAGGATCCTTTGTGGGACATTCAGACACTTGGTAGAAGTGGCATATTCTTTACAGCATTAGAAGGGTGTATTCTTTACAGCTAACTTTAGCTTGGGAAGGTTACTTTTCTATCTGTGTTTAATGGATAAAGAGAAGTATTCCAGGGTGAGACTAAGAGCACCTAGGTTCATTTCCTGAAATTATTATGAATATCTACATCCCCCACTGAAAATCAAGTGCATCTCTTTTCCAAATAGTTTATGAAAATTTTGCTTTTAGTCCCAAATTCTTCCATGTGCTGTATAACACAGCCACACAATTCTAATGACAACACGTTGGGCACTTTCTGTAGCCTTTCTCCAACAGATTCTGAAATTCCATTAAATCATTCATATTTTTTTGCAAATAATTTAGTAATTATAAAAATGAAAAGGCTATTTTATAAGGAGGTAAAATATTTGAGTGACGCTGGTTATGGAATGGGTTTAAGTTGAGAATACTGGGAATTTACTTTAATTTGATATTTGATATGAACTTAAAAAAAAAAAGACAAAAAGCAGGAAAAAGTATAAAGTCAAAATTCCAGAACCTGATTTGCACTACTGTAAATCCACAAAAAGTCAAGTGATTTCAAACACAAGTATTTTCAAAACATTATCAGCCTCCACCTCAGCGCTACTTTCCTCACAAAAAGTCAGTGTGTGCACACTCAGTTGCTGGCAACGTGTGTCCCTGAAGCGCACAGCTCTAGAGCTCACAGCTTTTCTGGGGTGCATTCACTTCACTCAGAGAACTGCTGCATGGCTTTGTACTTGATTTAACCTACAGGATTCAACTGCTCCCGATCCACACTTCTCCTGCGAATATGATCTAAAAAACCAGCTCTATGAACCATCTGCCTAGGTATTATATATAATTTTCAAAGTTACACAACTGATATTGTAAATTTTTTCTGTGTTGTTTTTACACAAAGCCTATGTTTTTTTTATATTACACAGCATCCCCTGCTTAATTTCGAAATATATCACATTTAAGCTATTCTTCCTGTTTTGGAGTAAGCAGTATTTGCCAATACATCTATCCCTAATCCCAGAGAGCAATATTTAGCATTAAATGGCAATTAGGCTGTGTTAGACCTAAACTTCCTATGTTACAATATCGTCATCTACAGCCTGCACGTAAAAGCCACACTAGGCTCAAACTTGTTTAAAATGTGGCTCATGAGGTTCACTTTATTATTTTGCACTGCCTCCTTTTTTTTCTAAATGAGAAGGCATTAACTTAACCTTCAAGCTTTACAACTGGCAAGGGAACATTTTATGAGCAATCTGAAAGAGCACCTTTGCAAGAAGTCGCGTCACTACACGCCCTATGTCTTCCCTCCACTCTGGTATGTCGGGGTTGTATATGTCCAGGTGCTTAGTGAACTTCAGAGGAAGAACATGAAAATGATCTAGGAAGAGAAAAAAAAAGCAAAACAAAACATTTTTGAACAAGTAACAAACCAGGTTGCAAAAACAGTTTTGCAGAAATAAAAGCTGAAAATACATATTTGGCATTATTTGCGGTGCAGCGCTGCAGCATCTAGGAACCCCAGTGCTCCGTGTTGCGTACTCTTGCACAGAGCAGGAGTACACTCCTGTCAGGTGCTCAATTTCTTTCTGGATTTTCATCATAATAATCAAATTTTTGCCTAAAGATAAAAAAGCAGGAAGAAAAAAATAAAAAAAGGAGTTTTACGTACGTCCTCAAGGGTCATAACCTTCCCAATAATTTTTCCTTAGGATAATACACCACGCAGACGTGGTTGGTTTCTTTTATTTGTAATGGGAACGTGCCAGTGGATTTTATTCTCACTGAATCATAAACATGAGGTTTTTGACCATTACATGTTCCTGTTTTTCATGTAAAATGTATTCGATTAACTAGTTACGAAAATAAGAACAGAAATTATATATCAAAGGCTAACTACTACCCTCTTCAAAAAAGTAAAAACAAGGTACACCCACATTTCTCTGGACATTGCCCAAAACATCTGAAATAGCAGAAGTGGGCTGTTGCTCAGTAAACAGTCTCTAAAATCTTTCCTTTCTCCATATAGGCTCTTTGGATGAACACCTGGGGAACTTAATCCAAAGCAGAGAGAGAGATCTTCTGGAATGCGTTGAGTCAAATCTGGCCTCACCAGTGCTTCTGACAGAATTTTAATGTGGTTTTCTTTACCTGAGGTTTCTTTATTTCCCCAATGACCAGTACGTTTTTTTGCCCTTAGTATCAGGATTGAAGAACACAAAGAGAAGAAGCAGTGTTTGAAAACCAGTCATTGATTTAGTCACACCAAGACAGCTGAGGTTTCTTTATTTCCCCAATGACCAGTACGTTTTTTTGCCCTTAGTATCAGGATTGAAGAACACAAAGAGAAGAAGCAGTGTTTGAAAACCAGTCATTGATTTAGTCACGTTATACGTCTAAAGATTTCTTAAAAAGTGGATGCACTTATAAGTGGTATCATAGACATTAAATCCATTCATCTTAGGAAAGGAGAAGGTTCATAAAAGCTGCATTTAGCATGAGTGTTTTTTTTACCATTATTTTAATTTAGTAAGTATACTAAAAGCAAAAATAACAGAATCTTCTTCAGACAATAGAGATGTATCTTGTTGTGCATTTCATAGTATCCAAAGGCTTTTAGCTCTGCATTAAAGAGAAGCTTTTTCACTTATCACTATTCCCACATGTGACAGCACAAATACAAATGTAAATAATTCATTGGCACTACGTTTTTCACAGTATATTATGCCTTGTCATCGCATTATAAGACACAACAAAACACACCAGGGCACAATGAGAAACAAGATCTGAAGAGTTATTCAATAATTACAGTGAAGCTACACTTGATCCAAACTCTCAGAGAAATATCAAAGGAACAGTGATATATTGCGATAAAAGGCAATTATTTCACATTGCTGGAAATGCTGAGAGTATATACACAACTAAATTCTCTTTTTTTTTTTTCAGAGGTATTTAAATGACTTTATTTAGAAATTCTAAGAAACTCTCCAGTCATAAGCCAAAATACTGCTTTAACACTATTGCTACATACAGCTTTTGGGAACTACAGTAACATTTTAAATAAGCAATGGAAAGAAAATGTTTTAGATTAAACCCTTTCATACAATGGCACCGTTCAACTTCATGAAGTTGCCTAGTGGCAGTTCATCCCTCTAATTTTAAGAATTAAATGTTTATATATATGTTATACATAATTTTTCAACAGGTTCAGTTGTGTCAGGGGTGGTTTAAGAGGTAAAAGAAACAAGTACACATGAAATGAACGTAACAAAACCATAAAATAGAAACCTTTGCAAGGTCTTACTGGAGGACTACTTATTATAGAAACTGTGCCTGATAAACTACTCTAATTTCCCCATAGCTCTACTCAACAGAAGTTTTCCCAAATAATTTGCAACATGTGATTATTCTTCTTTATATTTTAGAGGAAGCCACAGGGTATTTCATAGGCAAACATGAAAAAAAGCCTTGATTGTAATTGATGATATTCTTTAAGCTGCCTTGGAGCACAGCACTAATATAACAGTTGAGATTTAAAGGAAACTAATATACATAACATGTTGCACTGAAATAAAATGTTTGCACAACCAAGGAAGCTACCACCATCAATTCCCTTTAATTATTAAAGATGTCCATTCCATACATGCTTGGGATAAAGAGAAAGAATTTCTATTAGAAGCTGCATCTTGTTTCTTAAAAAAGCGGAAAGATGCAAATAATTTTGAAGTGGTAACATCCACCTGGCTGGAAGCTGAAGTTCATGACTGGCTATCTACTAAAGAAACAGTCTACTAAAATTAACCATTTCCTGCAACATAATCAGGATTTCAGACTCCCGCGAATTCCTACTGTGATTACAGAGGGAGAGCAGTAAGGGTTTGTGGTTGCCACAAAGCAGAAAATTTTGTGCAGTCACACTATACTCTGTGCATCTAAAGTAACAATTCACACTGCGCATTTTAAAGACATCTCTTCAAGTACTTGGACAACATTACCAAACTGCTTCGGACCTTCCATAGTGTACCCCATCAATTCCAAATGCAATCTACTCATTTTGTGTTAAGATCTTAATCTTAACTACTTCTCCAGCTCTTTGGATGCTGGAACCTTGCCTCAAAAAGCTGTAAAATGCCCTTCAAAATTAACAATACCTTACATTGGGGTTCTTCATAATTGGCAGTACTTGAACTGCAAGACACAGTCACAGTGTTGGGATCTGTTCCTTCTCTATCACCATAAAAGGATGAATATCATAAATTGTGAGTGCCAAGCTTTGGATTTTCAACTGGAATAAGGTCTTTTATTATGGAAGAAATATGGTTTAGAAATAAGTAGGGAGAAACTGATGTCTGCTTTTCACTCCTGTGTTCATTATATTTGTTTCTTGCCAACAGAAAAGGACATTTGCTCATAAAGGCAGAAACTACCTGCTTGATGCTCTTTGCATTACAGGTCAGCTATTAAGGCTCTGTTTCTGTTTGAACTGAAATCTAATTTGCTTCTGAAGACAGTGGAGAGATGGTTTGCCCCTCTTTAGAAATATCAGTGTCCTAAATACAATTTTTCTCTACCAAATGTTCACAGACTGACATGTTATCAGTGTTGTTACTGTTTAAAAAACATATCAATATTAGTTATTCTTGAGAATACACTAATACTTGTCAGGTGGGAGTGAGATCTTTACATAGTTAGGAAGCACCTTTTAATTTCACATGAAGTGTAGAGCCACTGATTGCAAAACAGGATGAAGACTGTCCTAACCATACATTCCTCTGGTTACCTTATCACTAGTTACACTTCTCTTCCTTTTTGGTTGGTTTGCCGGTAGTAGCACATGCAAGTCAGCAGTTGTGGGCAGACCAGGTTTCACGACTGTCATGAGTGTTTCTTTGGGTATATTGGTTTCCTGTGAAGACAAAGACATACAGCACATTATAGGACAGTATGCTTTATATTTTATAGAAAATACATAAGTAACAATACATAAGTAACTCCACACGTCTTTTAGTCTTTAGCGTTCAGATCCTTAATAGTTAGAGAGGATTCCACCAGAAGCTAAAAAGTGAACAAAGCCAAACGTAAATTAACTGAAATGTGAGCTGCTCTTTGAAGACTGGAAGAACTAAGCATTGTTATCGCATTAAAGAGATTTAGTGGCATCATGGAAAAAAGCGAAATGAAGCGGTGTGCAGCTTTAGTAAAGCCCTGCAATCGCTATGCATTTCTAGGGTAACAAAAAAATCAAACCTAAATGATTTAGGATCCTTTGTGGGACATTCAGACACTTGGTAGAAGTGGCATATTCTTTACAGCATTAGAAGGGTGTATTCTTTACAGCTAACTTTAGCTTGGGAAGGTTACTTTTCTATCTGTGTTTAATGGATAAAGAGAAGTATTCCAGGGTGAGACTAAGAGCACCTAGGTTCATTTCCTGAAATTATTATGAATATCTACATCCCCCACTGAAAATCAAGTGCATCTCTTTTCCAAATAGTTTATGAAAATTTTGCTTTTAGTCCCAAATTCTTCCATGTGCTGTATAACACAGCCACACAATTCTAATGACAACACGTTGGGCACTTTCTGTAGCCTTTCTCCAACAGATTCTGAAATTCCATTAAATCATTCATATTTTTTTGCAAATAATTTAGTAATTATAAAAATGAAAAGGCTATTTTATAAGGAGGTAAAATATTTGAGTGACGCTGGTTATGGAATGGGTTTAAGTTGAGAATACTGGGAATTTACTTTAATTTGATATTTGATATGAACTTAAAAAAAAAAAGACAAAAAGCAGGAAAAAGTATAAAGTCAAAATTCCAGAACCTGATTTGCACTACTGTAAATCCACAAAAAGTCAAGTGATTTCAAACACAAGTATTTTCAAAACATTATCAGCCTCCACCTCAGCGCTACTTTCCTCACAAAAAGTCAGTGTGTGCACACTCAGTTGCTGGCAACGTGTGTCCCTGAAGCGCACAGCTCTAGAGCTCACAGCTTTTCTGGGGTGCATTCACTTCACTCAGAGAACTGCTGCATGGCTTTGTACTTGATTTAACCTACAGGATTCAACTGCTCCCGATCCACACTTCTCCTGCGAATATGATCTAAAAAACCAGCTCTATGAACCATCTGCCTAGGTATTATATATAATTTTCAAAGTTACACAACTGATATTGTAAATTTTTTCTGTGTTGTTTTTACACAAAGCCTATGTTTTTTTTATATTACACAGCATCCCCTGCTTAATTTCGAAATATATCACATTTAAGCTATTCTTCCTGTTTTGGAGTAAGCAGTATTTGCCAATACATCTATCCCTAATCCCAGAGAGCAATATTTAGCATTAAATGGCAATTAGGCTGTGTTAGACCTAAACTTCCTATGTTACAATATCGTCATCTACAGCCTGCACGTAAAAGCCACACTAGGCTCAAACTTGTTTAAAATGTGGCTCATGAGGTTCACTTTATTATTCTGCACTGCCTCCTTTTTTTTCTAAATGAGAAGGCATTAACTTAACCTTCAAGCTTTACAACTGGCAAGGGAACATTTTATGAGCAATCTGAAAGAGCACCTTTGCAAGAAGTCGCGTCACTACACGCCCTATGTCTTCCCTCCACTCTGGTATGTCGGGGTTGTATATGTCCAGGTGCTTAGTGAACTTCAGAGGAAGAACATGAAAATGATCTAGGAAGAGAAAAAAAAAGCAAAACAAAACATTTTTGAACAAGTAACAAACTAGGTTGCAAAAACAGTTTTGCAGAAATAAAAGCTGAAAATACATATTTGGCATTATTTGCGGTGCAGCGCTGCAGCATCTAGGAACCCCAGTGCTCCGTGTTGCGTACTCTTGCACAGAGCAGGAGTACACTCCTGTCAGGTGCTCAATTTCTTTCTGGATTTTCATCATAATAATCAAATTTTTGCCTAAATATAAAAAAGCAGGAAGAAAAAAATAAAAAAAGGAGTTTTACGTACGTCCTCAAGGGTCATAACCTTCCCAATAATTTTTCCTTAGGATAATACACCACGCAGACGTGGTTGGTTTCTTTTATTTGTAATGGGAACGTGCCAGTGGATTTTATTCTCACTGAATCATAAACATGAGGTTTTTGACCATTACATGTTCCTGTTTTTCATGTAAAATGTATTCGATTAACTAGTTACGAAAATAAGAACAGAAATTATATATCAAAGGCTAACTACTACCCTCTTCAAAAAAGTAAAAACAAGGTACACCCACATTTCTCTGGACATTGCCCAAAACATCTGAAATAGCAGAAGTGGGCTGTTGCTCAGTAAACAGTCTCTAAAATCTTTCCTTTCTCCATATAGGCTCTTTGGATGAACACCTGGGGAACTTAATCCAAAGCAGAGAGAGAGATCTTCTGGAATGCGTTGAGTCAAATCTGGCCTCACCAGTGCTTCTGACAGAATTTTAATGTGGTTTTCTTTACCTGAGGTTTCTTTATTTCCCCAATGACCAGTACGTTTTTTTGCCCTTAGTATCAGGATTGAAGAACACAAAGAGAAGAAGCAGTGTTTGAAAACCAGTCATTGATTTAGTCACGTTATACGTCTAAAGATTTCTTAAAAAGTGGATGCACTTATAAGTGGTATCATAGACATTAAATCCATTCATCTTAGGAAAGGAGAAGGTTCATAAAAGCTGCATTTAGCATGAGTGTTTTTTTTACCATTATTTTAATTTAGTAAGTATACTAAAAGCAAAAATAACAGAATCTTCTTCAGACAATAGAGATGTATCTTGTTGTGCATTTCATAGTATCCAAAGGCTTTTAGCTCTGCATTAAAGAGAAGCTTTTTCACTTATCACTATTCCCACATGTGACAGCACAAATACAAATGTAAATAATTCATTGGCACTACGTTTTTCACAGTATATTATGCCTTGTCATCGCATTATAAGACACAACAAAACACACCAGGGCACAATGAGAAACAAGATCTGAAGAGTTATTCAATAATTACAGTGAAGCTACACTTGATCCAAACTCTCAGAGAAATATCAAAGGAACAGTGATATATTGCGATAAAAGGCAATTATTTCACATTGCTTGAAATGCTGAGAGTATATACAGAACTAAATTTTCTTTTTTTTTTCAGAGGTATTTAAATGACTTTATTTAGAAATTCTAAGAAACTCTCCAGTCATAAGCCAAAATACTGCTTTAACACTATTGCTACATACAGCTTTTGGGAACTACAGTAACATTTTAAATAAGCAATGGAAAGAAAATGTTTTAGATTAAACCCTTTCATACAATGGCACCGTTCAACTTCATGAAGTTGCCTAGTGGCAGTTCATCCCTCTAATTTTAAGAATTAAATGTTTATATATATGTTATACATAATTTTTCAACAGGTTCAGTTGTGTCAGGGGTGGTTTAAGAGGTAAAAGAAACAAGTACACATGAAATGAACGTACCAAAACCATAAAATAGCAAGCACAAGGTCTCACCAAAAACTTGCACAACTTTTGAGTCCTGAAGCATGGAGCTCCCACAGGAAGCCTGCACTGTAACTCTGACATCTCCTGTCTCAGCAAACCTTGTCACCAGAAAACTCTCCAATGTAAGGAGTGGCTTTAAAAACAAAGAGAGGTTGAAAATAGAATTTCAGCAAGAACCACAAAAGCAGTGTCTGAAGGGACTGTTACTACTACTAATAAATAGCAGAAAAGTTTTCACATCAATTATTCAATTGATCAATATTTTATCAAATTTCTCAATTACTATTTTCAATACAGAATATTTCTTTCCCTAAATGGCACATTTATAAACAGAATAGCTGCCAGATGGGGTAAACATTTATTCTGGAATTGGTAGAGTATTAGGTTTTCATTCAGATCCCACTGAAACAAACAGATTTTGAGTCAGGCTCACAAATCTCTACAAGATCATACACAGCAAGCCATTCGCCTCAAAACAATGTGGGGTATAGTCAAGGTCAAAAGGATTACTTCTGTCAATTTAGAGCATGACCCACAGAAGTGCACCAGTCCACCGTAACCTCCAAGGCAGAACTGAAATACTCTGTTCCCTGACCACATTCGTATGAGCTACAAAACCCTTCACAAGACTAAATCGATCCACGGTGCCTGTTCTAGCAATAGCAAAGTCAATAATAGTGACAAGATACAGGCTGGGATTATGGTAGACAGCACATTTACAAGAAGAAAGTTCATTGTGCTTATCTGAAGCATTCCTCTGTCATACTTGGTCTCCCTCATAAAGAAAATATTTTACTTATCTGTTATTGAAAGAATTAAAAGAAATTAACCCAGCTAGATATGAAATATTCCCAATAGAAATACTTGGATATTTATTGCTTTAGGATATGTTTATCTAGATTTTCTATCCCCAAGTAAATATCACTAGATTGTTTGAGTGCTTGAGGATATGAAATATTCCCAATAGAAATACTTGGATATTTATTGCTTTAGGATATGTTTATCTAGATTTTCTATCCCCAAGTAAATATCACTAGATTGTTTGAGTGCTTTCACTGTTTTGATATCCTTTTAGATATCCCAGTTATTGTTGATATGCCAGTTTATTTTAGACACCCAGAAAATATTTATCTATACAATGAAAATATGTATTTCTGTAGAGCACTTCAATTTACAGTAGTCACATTATCAACATGGAAGTGCATAAATCCAAGTTCCATCCTTCACCAATGCTATGATCCTACATGTACCCCCCTCCACAAGTTTCTTTCCCACAGGTAATGAAATAGAATAAATTTTTGCCATCTCCCTCTCCGCCCCTCCTCCTCCCCCAAGAAAATAGTTTAAAAATTCAAACCAATCCTAGAAGAGCAATTTCCAGTTCCACATAAGCAATAAAGTGAAATTAACACCTTAAATGCGTGTGATAAAACAAGGGAAGTTACATACTCCTTGCCACCAGATGTAACTGGCTATTTGGAATGAAAGATGGTCTAAAAGAAGTCATGAAACATGGCAGTAGTTCTGTTAAAGATGTCAAAAATGGTTGAAAATAATCTCAGTCAAAACCAAGTATGTACCTGCAGATTGTTTCCTATCCACCAGTAGAAGACTGTCAAATTAGGGTTCTTAGGCAGTATGATGGCTGTCAGGTTCACCTCCTGGTTTCTCCCAACAACTGGAACCACTTCTAAATTTAAAGCCTGCAGTGGAGCTGAAAAAAGTTCCCAAAATATCAGTAAGCAAGAATCCATCAGTTTATTAATGCCTCTTTCCCCACAAGCCTCTCCTCTGCACATCACAAGGTCCTGAATTTATTTCCCCCCCCCCCTCCTGCTTTACATCTGTGATGAATACTATGAGCATTGGAAGGATATAATTTTAACAAAAACCCTCAAACTTAAAAAAATAAAACAATCACACCAAAAAATCCTAGTGCAACATGATGGATCACCAAAATTAATGCCTCTTTCCCCACAAGCCTCTCCTCTGCACATCGCAAGGTCCTGAATTTATTTTTCCCTCCCCCTCCTGCTTTACATCTGTGATGAATACTATGAGCATTGGAAGGATGTAATTTTAACAAAAACCCTCAAACTTAAAAAAATAAAACAATCACACCAAAAAATCCTAGTGCAACATGATGGATCACCAAAATGCACCTTTCTGTTGTACTTTTTTTGGGTGCTTGTACTTTTTTTTTTCCTTTTTTTAATGTAATAAAATATTAAATTAATAAAAATCTAACAAATATCTCAATCTGCTAAGAGAAAAAGCAGAAAATTGAAAAAGAATGTAGCTGACTACTCATTTTTATTTTAAAATATAAGCTGCTAGGCTCACACCGCATAAGATATCATTAATGCATATTTTAAAATAGATCTGTATATCAGGGGAGCATTTATTTGCAACTCAAAATAGATAATTTTGTACTCCAAAATACGCCTTTAGAATAAGTTTGTTTTTTTCTGAGCTTTTGCCTATGAAGGCTGTAAACATTAATAGTAGTATAAAAGAATCGCATCATTACAATTATTTGATCTACTTCTTAATGTTGCATTTTGCTTCATAGTAAAATAACTTTATTGAAAGAAAATCTTTTGGAGGTTTCCGAGTAGAGCTTATTCAGAATGTCTGAATCATAGAATGGTTTGGGCTAGAAGTGACCTTTAAAGGCCATCTAATCCAACCTCCCCTGCAATGAGCAGGGACATCGTCAACTAGATCAGGTTGCTCAGAGCCCTGTCCAGCCTCACCTTGAATGTTTCCAGGGATGAGGCATCTACCACCTCCCTGGGCAACCTGTTTCAGTGTTTCAACAACCTCATTGTAAAAACATTCTTCTTTATATCTAGTCTAAATCTACCCTCTTTCAGTTTAAAACCATTACCCCTTGCCCTATCGCTACAGGCCTTGCTAAAAAATCTGTGCCCATCTTTCTTATAAAAATTCTTTAAGTACTGAAAGGGCTGCAATAAGGTCTCCCTGGAGCCTTCTCTTCTGCAGGCTGAGCAACCCCAAATCCCTCAGCCTGTCCTCATCAGAGAGGTGTTCCATCCCTCTGATCATTTTAGTGGCCCTCCTCTGGACCCTTGGGAGGGTCCATGTCTTTCCTGTGCTGAGGGCTCTAGAGCTGGATATAGAACTCCAGGTGGAATCTCACCAGAGTGGAATAAAGGGGCAGAATCACCTCCCTTGACCTGCTGTCCATACTTGTTTTGACGGAGCCCAGGATATAGTTGCCTTTCTGGGTTGCAAGTGCGGATTGCCAGTTTATGTCCAGTTTTTCATCCACCAGTATCCCCAAGTCCTTCTTGGCAGGGCTGCTCTCAATCCCTTCAGCCTCATCCTGTACTGATATCAGGGGTTGCCAGACCCAGGTGCAGGACCCTGTACTTGGCCTTGTTGAACCTCATGAGGTTCACATGGGCTCACTTCTCGAGGCTGTCCTGGTCCCTCTAGATGACATCATGTCCCTTAGGCGTGTCAACTACACCACTCAGTTGTCGGCAAACTTGCTGAGGTTGGACTCAATCCCACTGTGTCAGTGATGAAGATATTGAGCAGTACTGGTCCCAATACAGACTCCTGATGGTTAC